AAACACTATAATTCACAACGAACGTTTCACGTGCTCGACTCAACAATACGTTTCTCTCTGTCTGCAGTTCAATTACACATTGTCGCCGTCAGTTCTTGGCGGCTTATATACAAGACTATCGCATATCTAGTAGCCTCTCGAGGTTTCATGAACGTTCTAGAAGCGCATGACGCGTCACTAGCGTCACGTGACCTCCACTGTCGTAACACTAGCATTATGTGCGGTAAGGCTTAGGCCTGACTAAACTAAAGTAAAAAAACGTATACAAGTTATAGTGTTAATTTATTTCCTTTATCGAATATAGGCCGTACTTAATAAAGGCTTAACTAATATTAGGCCTAAGACAAGTGGACTTATATAGATTTCGGTATCTTTAAAGAAGTACTGTTGCAATAAAGATACGAATTTGACCGAAAATGTTTTGCGGGTTTTTGATAGTTTATTATACACCTTCATATTAACCGAATTACAAAAAAAAACTATAATTAATAGAATTTCCTTTTTAAAAAAAATCATTGGTTATTTGTTGAATTTTTGAATTGATATCTAAAAATTCTCCTATGTATATATTTATTAGTTTTTTTTTTTCACAGATGTTAAAGTTTGAAAATAATAAGGAAATAAGAAACTTTAAATTGTTTCATGTTTGAGATAGCAGAAACTATAAACCACTTTTAAAAGTTGTGTGCATTACCACACAAATTGAAGACTCGAAAATTTCATATAGATGTGTCTGTCATTTCTTTCCGACGTTCATTTATCGCTGTATTTCACTGTCGAGCTAGACGCTAACGTAGAGAAAACAGATTGCCACGAGCGATATAAACGATGACGCTCTTTCACTCGGTTGCTTATGGCTTCTCAGCATGTTATTATAACTTGCCACTGGCTCTGTTAGCGATGTAAATAAAATTCTGACAACCTGGCTTCAGAGTATTAACCAGAAACATGAAAAGAAGGAGAAAAGAATGCTTAAGAATATATTTAAGTTATATACGTACGCAAAGCAATAATTCTTTGAACTCAGTACATGCACATGGACGTATTTTGAGAGAAACAGAAGTACATTTTAATGTTGTATGTGGGGTGTTTTATGGTTAACAGATATCATGATGTAATAGTGTCATATATCTTCCGATATTAATAGCAAAAAGTATCTCAAATAACACACACACAAACGCATACCAAAATTTCGAAGGACTCAAGGACTTCGTTAAAAGTTGTATTTTATGACAACGTAGAAGGAAATTAGAGGAATGAAGAATTTGAAAAAAAAGTGTATTGAAATCTGCAGTACAAAAATAACAACAACAAAGAAAGAAGACACAAATCTGTATTACAACAACAACAACAAAGAAAGAAGACACAAATCTGTATTACAACAACAAAGAAGACACAAATCTGTATTACAACAACAACAAAGAAAGAAGACACAAATCTGTATTACAACAACAAAGAAAGAAGACATAAATCTGTATTACAATAACAACAATAAAGTTAGAAGACATAAATCTGTATTACAATAACAACAACAAAGTAAGAAGACATAAATCTGTATTACAACAACAAAGAAAGAAGACACAAATATGTATTACAATAACAACAACAAAGTAAGAAGACATAAATCTGTATTACAATAACAACAATAAAGTTAGAAGACATAAATCTGTATTACAATAACAACAACAAAGTAAGAAGACATAAATCTGTATTACAATAACAACAATAAAGTTAGAAGACATAAATCTGTATTACAATAACAACAACAAAGTAAGAAGACATAAATCTGTATTACAATAACAACAATAAAGTTAGAAGACATAAATCTGTATTACAATAACAACA